GTTACTGTATTGTAAAATAATAAAAAATTGCATTAAATTCTACTAGCTTCTTGCATTTGACCCAGAGTCCTTTCAGCTGTAAATCTTTTCCATTTTTTCCAGTCAATTAATTTAAAGCTTTGTTTAAAGTGTCAGAATGATAAAAAACAAAACAAACAAACAAACAAACAAACAAACAAACAAACAAACAAACAAACAAACAAACAAACAAAAGAAAAACACTTCTTCTAAACTACAAGCAATTTTCACAAAATTTGGAGTCATAAATATTTGAAAGCCTTTTCAGCCTTGAGTGACAACGTAAAAAATTTAAAGCATGTCACTGTGTTCCCACCTTGCATCTGCTTCCCTTTATTGTTTTCCTTTTCTTCCCTCAAGCGAAGGAGCTGGCAGTTCATAAAGGCAATCGAGTGTGAATAGATCTTAATAGTCTCCATATCATGTCGGACTTTGAGGTCCCCCAGTCGTAAATGTCTGGCAGAGGCTGAATGCTGTTTTGCTGATGARTAAATCACAGAATAAGACACCAGTGAAAAATGTTTATGTTAGATGGTTCATATTGATCATAACTGAACAGAACAGTTGGACTCTGAAACTGACTGTAAAATTTCACATCCTCCCTTTTCCTGTGAGCTTTGTGCTCGACTAAATGGAATTAAAAAGGGAATAAAAATGAGGATAAAGAGCACCAGTGAAATGACTTTACTGTCCTGGTTTCCATCTGTCTTTGTGCTTTTTGCTGACCAGTACACCCTCCCTCCCCCACTCTCTCTCCCATTGCCTTTAATCCTGCAGAAATGTCTCCATCTGTCCGTTTGTTCATCTGTTCACCTTTTGTTTCCAGTCTGTCTCTCAGGTATGCCTCACAAATACTTTCCCCACCTTTTTCCTCTTCTTTCCTTCACTCCATCAATCTTTATTCCTCATTTTTATTTCTCTGTCTTACTTAATCAAACCTCTGTCCTGGCTTTGTTCTCTAACTTTTTCTCTACACCCCTCAAACTTCACAGATTCATGAGCTACATTTTTTTTTTCAGCATAAAGGTGGCAGCTGCTGCTGGACGCCCACAGTATTAGTGGAGCGCCACGGCATTACGACCTCYTCACATGAATCTTCCAGCTTTCCCTTCTTTTTCTCTACACATAATTTCAGTCAGACACTAGGGTCTAGTTCTCCAGATGTTGACGACTGTCTGTTCCAAGCACAGAGCAGCTGAACCAGATGACTTAAATGGCGGAGACGGAGACTTCTACGGATCAAAGGAAAATAATCTAATTCCCATTAATGACAACTTCTAAGCCATATCACATTTTCTTTTCTTTGCTCCCTATCCTTTGCATGTGTTGACACATATGCCAATAATCAGTTGCTTTGAGTTCAGCCAGTTGCAGTTCTTGGCTCTGGTTGTTGTGTCTGCAGGTGTAGATGCAGGACACCGAGATATGAAAGTGTTTGAAACTCAATCCTCACCACAGACTTAATGCTGTAAATGTTATTTAGGAACACAAATCCTTTGTTGGACTTTTGCAAATCCTTACATCGTATGGTCGATCTGCATCATTAGTAGGTCTCACAGGCAAAAACTGGATTTTTAAGTAGCAGCAGATGTTTTTGAGCTCAGGCAAATTGTCAAGAAGGAAGAATTTTAGTTTGAAAAGAGACTTAAAAAACTAAGCAACACCTACACCTCAGCAGGAATGAATATTGGCATATTTCATGCCACAAATGGAGGGTGTGCGTGTGTGTGTGCGTGTGTGTGTGTGTGTGTGTGT